AGTGCCAGTTTCATATTCTCAAATGTCTAATCACAAGAGCTATCCGTATGGCCTATTCGACCACATTGAAAGCATAATCTAAACACCCTTTCATACCTACACTCCAGCCAAACTCTTCTTTTGGTGACGAATCTCACTCTTAATGCAGTTAGGAGTGGTAGTGCAGGATTTACGAGAATTTGAATTCTCATAAATCGAACATTGTATGAGAGACTGGTCATAATATCAAATTTTCAAAATTCACCAAGAAGATCACCAATAACTTGGGCCGTAGTGTTAGTGAAATAACTTAGAGGAAGGCCCCACACCTGAACCCAAAGAGTATTTGTGTAGGCTGGTCTTCATGTGGAAAAAAAATCTCTCCTCCAAGGTCTCATCTCCATCAAGACATTCTCAACGGACCAAGGGCCATGAAACAAGACATAATCCTTGTTAGCAGAATCTTTAAACCAAATATAATAAGCATTTCCTTTTTTACCGACAATAGCAAACTCCTTGCGTAAATGCCATGCATGTTGAAGTGCATTCCTTATCTTCTCAATATTTAAATTTTTAAAGTTAATCAAATAACCAATCAGACACTGTCTCCAAAAGTCATCAGCCTCTGCATGTGGGAGTAAATCCAATGCAACTGCGGGACCCTGAAGCATTGTTTGAAAGTGAGTAAAAAGGGATCCAGAATTAATATCATCTGAACTCATAGATTCCTCCCAAGAAGAACTTTGTTGGGACCACCCAAAACCCCTAGAATCTTCACATGAAGACATGGAAAGAACCCTGATATAAACAAAAGAGCAAAGGTAAAGAGCTAAACACCACAGTAAACACTGACTGAAGAAATATTGTAGAGAGAAGATGCACTCTCTCACTCTAACGCAACTAGTGGGAGCTTTTATGGATTGTTAAGTTGTTGATTATTAGGTGTAGTTGATTGAATAAGAATTGGAAACATTAGTTATGTTAGTGTTAGGATTAAGTTTATGTTTTGAAATGGTTTTGCATTCTTCTGCTATGCTAGTTGGAATTGGTCTGTAATTTGCATTGCAGGGAGGTTGTATAGGAAACTGATCGCAAGCTGTAAAAAAAAACCGTCATGGAAAGTCTTATTTTCATGGTGGTTATAAATCGTCCTGAAATTTTTTGTTTACAATGTTAACGGAATTCACTGCGGCTCCAAAACCACCATGGAAAGCCCATTTTAATTGCCGTTAAATGGCTTTTTTCTAGTAGTGTATGTGATATTAAATGATGATATGGCATGTAAGGTTAAATATGATGATGTATAAGAATAAATTATGCAATGTTGGCATGATTATGAAACATGCAAGAAATGAATATGAATTATTAATGGAAGTAAGGGGTAAATTATCCCTAAAAAGCCTTGAATCTGTGACAGAGTTGGAGTAAGGCAAATGATGGGATCATCCAATAAATTTTGGTATGCTTAAAGTACACGTCCTGATCTTTAAAACAAGTCGTAGATCACTTAAAATGGATGTGTGTACTAAGAGTTACAACTACTCAAAGTTAAGGTAGAGAAACTAGAAAGTACAGTTTTACCAAATGAACAGTAAATTTCCACGAATGAACTATATAAATTGGGAAGGATTAAGCCCATGTTTATATTCTTTTTCTCCTTAGAGAATTGAAAGAACTTTAAAGAGAAACTTAGATCACCTCAATAAAATTTTTTTTATAATTAGTTATGAATTTTTTAAGTTGGCATAAGAATCTAGAATTTATCAATGAACAGTAACCTACGAAACAAATTTTATATTTTCAATCTATAGACTTGTTTCATGATCTGCTTGAACCTTAACGCTTCTAGATGCATACTAAAGGGGTAAGTGGAAGGATGTTTCACTTTTCACCATAACAAACTATGTAGAAAATGGCAAATGTTACATTATAGCCTCCAAAAATATTAGACACAAGCTACTTAGTACAGGTTTGAAAAGATCAAGGAATTGATTAGCCCCGTACATTGCTTAAAGATTGCATTCCTACATCCGAGCTATCTGCATCATATTCACCAAAGTAGAGGGTTTGAAAGTAGCTACACAAGATTAAATATTAGTTTGTAATACACCCAGAAAGCAGTCCATCAACACCTCTTCGGGTATATCGACATTAGTAAGTAAGTCATCAAAGGCCTCTATGTACTGATCAACAAACAAATTTAATTGCTACAGCTTTTTCACCTAAACCATTGGATTGATGTGCTTGATTGCAGTAAATCAAGCCTCCCTCTGAGTAAAATAGTCATCCCAAGAACCTTCATCTTTCTTATGTTTCTTCATGAAATTGAGATGCCATTTTAGTGCCTTTCCTTCCAAATGGATGCTTAGTAGATGGATTTTGTGATCCATTATTGTGTCATCAACAGCAAAAAATTAGTGGCATCGATATGAGTAATCGTGAAAATTTTAGCCATCGACTGCTGCTTCAAGTCACTAATGTGTTCTCTGGACTGAGTCTCCGATGCCATGATACTAGACAACAGCTTTAATACCGAATTGGCACAGGTTGTGAGAGAGAGAGAGAGAGAGAGAGATAGAGTTCACTTCTTATTTAACCACGTGTACATGAATAGTTGTATTTATAATATAGAGTCCTATATCTAGTCAGTTCTATAGTTGGTTCCATCCTAACCGAAATAGGATATGTGCTCAATATTTATCAACCATTAACACTTACTCTATTCACGCTCACTATTACGATGCCACATATAGCGTCACTCACTAAAACTAGCCATTAGGTGAGCGCGTTTATAAAGTAGTTCAGCTTGATAGTCGACTAATATTGCATGATAGTCAAATAGGCACATATAGGTTTGCCAAATAAAACCAAACAAAAAAGGGAAGGAGTATGTAAAATCTAATTCAATAATATATATTAGTAAAATATTTCTGGTTTCGCTAATTAATAATTTAACTCCCCAGGTAAGCACAACCTTTCTTATCAATCCACGCTTTTTAAAACTTTTAAGTTCAATGGTACTTTTCAAACAAATCTAATTTGTCAAAACAGCACTAATTAACTTTTCCTTTCATCATTTGCTGTGTACCCCAGACCTAAACAAAGAGATATTTTAAAAAATCGTGCACAGCAGGGCAGAAGACAAAAATGAAAGAAATAGCAAAGAGCAATAAAAGTAATTAGTACATCCTTCCGTTGTACATGTTCAAATTAGTTGGGATTTCTTTTAGTCATAAATATAGTACCTTAATTTTGTTTGTCTCTCATATTTATTTTTTTCCCAAACTATTCTATTATTAGATTTTTATATATTATATAAGTTGTATTGATAATATTTAATATGTAAATTATTAAAAGATAAGATAAAGAAACTAAAATACATTTTTATAATAAATAAATAATTAATTTATTTTTTTGTTTATATAAATAAGTTGACTAGTTCTTACATTGAATACATGAGACACGACTTATTTTTGGATGAAAAGTAATGAACAAAAGGACTGGAAGATGTTGACGGCAACTTTCTTTTGAGTTATTTGAATAGAGTTATCTGAAGATTCAGGATCCACCTTTTTACGTAACTGATATTCTAATACTACCTCATATCCTTAATATAAAAGATAAATAACTAATTTGCGGACATTAAGAAAGTTAGTTAAGTTAGTTTTATCTGCTTAAAAAAAAGTTAGTTGTAATAAATGTGTCTTAATTTCCCTAAACTGTCACAATTTGGTCATGTGCATTAGAGTTACCCATGATTGGAAATCCTCTTAATATGTGCAATTAATAGAGTTGCATTAAGTAAAAAAAAATTATAAATTTTGGAAGCAAAGTGGATTAAGGTCATATGTTTAGAACTAAGGTAAATTTATTATCTAACTTCTATATTTAGGACTGGAGGTAATATAAGATGTGAGTTTATTTGTTCTGATTTAATTTTTCTTACTAATATTATATGGTAATATATATGTATGTGTGTGTATACTTCCTCCAGTCTTTAAATGTAAGACCCATTTTATAATGTAATTTACACTATAAGAATGGGTCTTATATTTAATATCAGAGGAGTATATAAGGATGCATCATGTCATTCTGGCCAGAGGATAACTCCAATTTTTCCCTTTGCGTAGTGCAGTCTTACTCTTGACATTTTCTAGATTTTTCCAGGAAACAGAACTAATGGAACAATTCAAAATGAGGACCTTGTCTGTCGAGAAAGAGACAGCGGCAAGGAGAAATATGAAGTTGGTGAGAAAATGAATTGCTTGATTGTTTATAGAGTTTTCTTTTTATTTTTGTACGTAGGATATTTTAAAGAATTGGTTAATCGATCAAGTCAAAATATTTTTTCCGTGGATTAATATGTGCTGATAGACGTAACCATGCTTATTGTTTAGATTCCCTAAAATATAAAATATTAGGTCTCCCGGCTATATTTTAATTTTTATGGATGATTTTTTGCGGCCTTTTGGCTATAAGAACACGGGCAGACTAAATTTTTAGAAAACTCAGATAAGGCTCAAATTTTATTTTATTTTTTCAAAATCTTTAAGTAACGAACTTAAAGACAAAGTCTAAGAGAATTTTTTAGATCACTTGATCAAGACATCAAGTTATTTACATGAAACTAATCTATCTAGATCCGATAACAATATCAAATATTCATAAAATAATTCTGGTTAGGAACGAAAGAAGAAAAATATGAATTCAAGAAACAAATTAATACTTCCATATAAAATATCTCAATTATTTCTTTGGCTATGAAATAAAAGAAATCAATTGAACTAACATGCTACATATTGAAAATGACATTAAATACAATGTATCATTGATGATTGATATGAAATGATAAATATACTTTCTAATTTTTTAGTTATGTCTGCGCGTTATTATTTTACAAAATAAATATATGAGGTGTGCGTCATGCGTTTGGAGTTGCGTTGGACATCCTATAAGACAATAACATAAAACACATTGATCATAAATAACATGCATATTTATTATTTTATTAATATAGAATGATTTTTCAACCCCTGCAAACGCAGCAGGTTGAAAACTACTCACAATGCATATATTATTTACTAATAATATTTTACAAAACAAATACATGGACTGGGCAAAGGCTCACAACTGTCATATTACATCATAAATAAATAAATAATAATAATAATAATAATAAGAGAATGAAAGCAACTCTATGATATTTTATGACAGTACGAGGAAATTTGCTTCCATCCTCTTTCCTCTATATGCGAAGCGTGTCCATCCATCGCTTTCTTTATTTGATAATGATAATATATATTATTAGATCCTGTGACAAAATATTCATATAAATCCATTAGTCCACGCCGCTGGCCTCTATGTAGTCACCGATGAAATGTATACTAGAAAATTCAACAGAATAAAATTTCAATAAAGTTTTTATGGCATTTTATACCAAAATCAATTATTTTGGTTAAATTAGTTTTAGATATTTGTATCTATATGACATTTAAAGAAGTTTCAAATTAAATAAATTGATAATAAATAAAATATACCATAACATGTATGCATATATTTTCGTTAATATCACATTAGTAATTAAAAAAAAAAGCACTAATTTTTCATGTTGTAATTTAAATTAAAACAAAAGCATCAATTCCTTTATTTACGCCTCATGAACTGAAGTATGAGAAATTAATAAGAAGTAGTGGAGTGAGAGAGGGAACTAAGCTTATACACACCAAGGAGCACGAGCAGTGAAAACGCTGGATCTAGTAGTGGTAAGGAGGGGGTGGTGAAGGATACATATAGTTCTTGTAAACTGGGGGAGGAGACTTGTAAACATAGTATTTCTTTGGCGGTGGAGGAGGCGACGGGTACACGTAGTGGTTTTTTAATGGAGGAGGAGACTTGTAATCATAGTGTTTCTTTGGTGGTGGAGGAGGCGACGGGTACACATAGTGTTTTTTCATAGGAGAAGGAGACTTATAATCATAGTGTTTTTTGGGTGGCGGAGGAGGCGACAGGTACACATAGTGTTTTTTCGGTGGAGGAGGAGACTTGTAATCATAGTGTTTCTTTGGCGGTGGAGGAGGCGACGGGTACACATAGTGCTTTTTCAGTGGAGGAGATGACGGGTACACATGGTGTTTCTTCGGTGGTGGTGGAGGAGGAGACGGGTACATGTAGGGCTTCTTCGTAAGTGGTGGAGAAGAAGGATACTTGTAATAGGGTTTTTTCATTGGAGGAGGAGGAAATGGGTAAACATAATCTGCAGAGGTTTCAGATGGCAAGATGCTTAGAGACACAAGCAGCAACAACAGAGTGAGAGTAGCAGAAGCCATTAGGGTTTCCATGTTTCTTTAACTCCAACAATAGGAGTTGCTTCTGCTGTTTGTTGGATTCTTGAGAGCCTAATGCCACCCTTTATATAGAAAAATTCCTGCAGGACTTGTGTTCCACCGATTGGTTGGAGGGATTAAATAATGAGAAGGGAACAGATCAATGTAACAATATCAATATTTCAAATGAGAGAACTTTGAAAAATGTTTTATTATATGATCGTCATCGAGAAGTATGACTCCTTCGTTATATTTTATATAATGCACCTGAAAGAGGCTCACTAATAATGTGATATCACATTTAGATGTGCGAATAATGTTCTTCGATAAATTTTAAAAAGAAAAGAGTTTCTTCACCAGCCAAAAAAAAAAAACTCTTATAAAATAATGTTTTAATTTTTTCCATCATCACACACGCGTAGCAAAGTTGTATACTTTACACACATTTTCCCTGACAAAACAATAATAGAACAATTCAAAATGTGGACCACGTCAGTGGCACAGAGAAATATAAGTGTGAAACAGGATTGTTGTTTAATTAAAAGCTTATTGAATCTAGTTTTTTTTTAAAATTCATTATCTTATAAAATTGTTTAAACTAGACGTCATACCCGTGCGAGGCATCGGTTATTGAATTGAAACTTTTCACATTGAAAGACAAAACCAAAAAAGCATATCATAAATATCAATAAGACACACCATCTAACACAGGAAAAGTGCAAAATAATGATAAGTAAACAAGTATTGCAAGCACTTGGTATATATTAAAATCCTCAATCTCATAAATGTGCTTGTTATAATTCAACTAATACCACTAGTTACCACAAAATAATCCTCAAAGATTGGAACATGACGATTGTACATTATTCAAGGAACAAATTCACTGGATAGACACTGTTATATAACCCTCATTAAGTTAGTTTTATTTTAGGGTTAAGGTGCAGATTTAACAACCATGTTTTACAAAAAGGACAACTGGCACCATTTACTTTTGAAGGGTGCTAAAGTAGACATAAACATTAAAAAAGAGCGCTTTTTAACCACAGCCGTTGGAAGGCCCAAACGTCCGTCCATTTTGTGTAAGTGGGTTCCACATCTTTCTCCACCTGGCAAGTGTTAAGCTTCAAACCATTTCAGACGTGGCAGGTAGAGAGTTCAATGACTCTATTAAAGTCCAAACGCCTTCCCCTGCAACCACATTTATACCCATCGAAGAAGGCGAAGACGTAGGGAGTACACAAAGTGAGGTCTAAAAGTGAAGTTCATGGCATCATCATCGTCCTCATCGACGGCAAGATACAGGAGAAGGTTTGCTTTATTGAGGCAACCTAGTTGCGAGGACAACTATGAACCGCCGATGAGGTATTGCCATCATGGAGTACACCCCCGATGGACGGCGTGGACTGATAATAACCCAGGTAGGAGGTTTTATGGCTGCCCAAACTATGACCAGGTATGAAGTGGTTTTCTTGCTGTGAAAAATGCTATTTTCTTCCCTGGTTCCGTGGTTGAAATGTTGGTATTGAACACGACAGGATGGGGGATGTGGCTATTTCTCTTGGCATGATGGGGACTTCGGTGAGAGGGCAAACACTGTGATCAAGGAGCTATTAGATGATATTGACAGACTATATGATGAAAGTAGCAAGAACCAAAGAGGAGAGCATGGGCGGAGACTAAGTGAAGAGCTCAATGTAATTCACAGTGAATTAAAGAAGCTTAAACACAGACATGAGCTGAATGATGTGGAAGTGAGGAAAGTTTAGAAGAGCAATGTTAGTGTCTGTAATGATATCGGTTGCAGTAGTTGTTTTGTATTTGACAAAGCAGGAGTGTGTGAAATTTGATTGCAATATATTTGTATGTCAGGAGATATGGGTTATGATAGCTGTTTTGTAACAATTATGGACCACTTCGTGGTATATTTGATGAAAAAATTAGGGTTAAGGTTCTTAATTGCCCCTAGTTTATCGTAGCAATTATACCCTGAGTTAACGTTCAGGCAAACAGACGTCTGTAAATGACAAGGTGTCAAGAAGATGGACGACATGTTGGTGAATGAGATGGTGACGTGGCACTGTTGTGTCGACAAAATAAAAGTTGATGCCGAAGGTCAATGTTGTCATCGAAGGTCGCTTTTGTCGTCGACATTGAGAGCTAGGGCAAAGCAAAGCGAGGTGGGGCGCATGTGAAGTGTGAAGAGAAGACCAAAGATCAGTTCTCGAATATGTATTCAAGAAGACCAGTTCTCAAATACGTATTCGAGAAGACCATTTCTCTAATATATATTCAAGAATATATTCGAGAATAAATAAGAATATATTTATTGATAAGCTGTTTGATAAATGAACTTATCGATAAGCTACTCGAATATATTCTTGAATATATATTAGATAAATGGTCTTCTCGAATACGTATTTGAGAACTGGTCTTCTTGAATACATATTCGAGAACTGATCTTTGGTCTTCTCTCAAGAATTATTCACGTGGTGAAGCAATTACTGATCCAACAATTATATAACAAGGGTGGTAATTTTGATGGCAATAATGTTAATTGAAATAATAGAAGAGAAGAACATATGAATTAAATAAGATGTAAAGGTAACCTAATTAATAATGAGAAACTGAAGATGTAACATAAGATAATAACCTTAATTAATTATAATGGACATTTGTACATGCCACTAATGTTGCTAAAAGAGTTACATCACATAGGACTTGCAAAATAAGAAGGCATCCATCTGAAAGACTAAGCATTGGTTCACCAAAATATAGACCTAGGAAGTGATAATCCCATGTAAAAGGCAATAAGGTAACCATAATCCAAGTAACGAAATACGTAGTACAAAATAGTCAAATACATAGTCTTAAATGTTTCTAAGCAATCTAAATGTCAGAGCTCTTAGAGTTGGTCTTGCTTCTTGTCTTCATCATTTGGCTCTGCAGTTGGAGGTGGGCACTTGAAATGCTTCGTTGGCCCTTCCACATCAACCCAGGAGGTGTAAATGGTAGTGTTGATGGTTGTGAAACAGCGGTCCCTTGCCTAGTGAATGGTATCCTCCTGGAACCCTCTGGTGCAGTGCGTTTTAAAGCTCGTGACAGTCAAAGTTCTTTCTCATTTGGGATTGGAAATTTACTCTGAGGGTCCACGTAGTGTTGTATATACTCCTGTGCAATACCCTCCTCAATGACCACCTCAGAACGCATTCCAAGCTGCATAAGTCAATGACATTGCTTAAATGACAGTAACTTTGCATGAATTAAAATGGAAGAGAATAGTGTCTAGTAATACTTACATTGTAGACGGTTCTCCCAGTTCCCTCATCAATTCTTATACCCATTCCACACTCAACTCTGGGCTTGTAGACAACCCTCTTTCTTGCTATGTGTTTGGAAGGTTTAGGTGGTTGTTGTGTCGATGGAGGATGATTTGTCGACTGTTGGGAGGGTAAAGTGGAATTGGGTGGTTGCTGTGAAGGTGGAGGGGGTGGTTGCTGTGTAGGTGGACTATGTGGTTGCTGTGAAGGTGAAGTGGGATTGGATGGTTGCTGTGTTGTGCCTTGGTTGGCTGTTTTCCTCCTTCTACCAGGTCGAGGCTTATTTGAGGGAGGTGCCTAGAAAGAAATGAAAAGTTAGCTTATAGTTATTGTAATAAATGAATATAAAGAAATTGGCACAAGTTACCTCTATGCAAGTGCTTCTATTGTGCCCAACTTTCCTACAGAAGCCACATTTGTTGACTTGTCCCCATTTGCTTACTCTTTCGACAAGTGGTGTTTCTGAACCATTGCTCATGCCAGCTTTACTTGACGTAGCTTGAGCAGCTTTCCTAGAGGCAACATTTGTCCTTCTTGCTACTTCTTCTGTCCTGATTCTTTTTTTCCTTGGTCGGCCAGGCAATGTGCACTCAGGTGGTGGTAGCATAGGGATAAACTGTTCTGTATCCCAGAATTGTTTGCCCCTCACAGGTGCAAACTTTGTCCTATAGCAATGTAGGTGTCCTTGTGGTAATAGCGTGAGATATGGGTGAGGGGCTCCAGTTTACAGTGATACATAGCACGAATAGCATGTTGGCATGGGATTCCAGTTAAATCCCATGCCCTGCACGTGCACATTTTCCTAGTGAGACATACTGTGTGCCTATCTTGTCCCTCAGTCACCTCAAATCCCTCATCCCCATTGAAAAAAACTCTACATGTAGAGGACAACAACCTATTTGGTTCAAATAAGTCCAGACATTTTGGACTATAGTTGCCTTTCCAATTCCTCACATTTTGCTCACTCTCAGCCTATTTTTCCATCATCTTAACCCTTATCCCATCAAACATTCTAATAACAGGTAGATATCGATATTCATCAATCCAAGCATTTAAACTCTCACTCATATTGTTGTCTACAACCCAAGACAAGCATCTATTACTGAAAGAAGCTCTTACCCAAGCAGATATAGGGTATGACACCATTGCTTCAGCTGCCTCTTTGTTAAGTGCTCCAAGTGCTTTGAGATTGTCTTTGAATTGTTCTTCAAACGTACTCCAAGCACAAGAGAAAATTTTTTTCTTCATCTCGTTCCCTCTCCACCTTTTGCTCCAGTTAGCATAAATATGCCTTGCACAAAGTCTATGCTCGGCCTCTGGAAGTATCTCTGTCACAGCATGTTGTAATCCCTACATGTATAGAACTAGTCAATTAAATGTTCTCATTAAAACCACATAAGTCATATGTAAATCAGCAAAGGTAACTAATCATACCTTCTGCATGTCTGACATGAAAGTTACTTTGCCACCATTGTGAAGATCAAGTGATATCCTAAGCCACTGAATGAACCAACTCCAATTCACACCATTCTCTTTATCAACCAAAGCAAATGCTAACGGGTACAATGAGTCGTTAGCATCTAAACCAACAGCAGTTAACAGAATCCCTCTAGCTTTACCTTTTAGAAATGTTCCATCAACTCCAATCAATGGTCTACACCCAACTTTCCAACCAACCTAAACCAACAATTTTGACTCATCAGGACAAACTGAAATA